ACCTGGGGGGGCAGTCAGGCTCCTGTAGAACTTCTGCTGGAGGGGGCAACCCCGGTCAGGTTGAATCGGCCCCCGTGAGGTAGCTGAAAAGGCTGTGCTGGAGGAGTGGCTCCCTGCAGGCTCCACAGCACCCCAAACCCTTCCCAAAGGAGGCGCCCACTACACCTGCCTGCCCGTCCCCAGGGACTGCAGCGCATCCCAGACAGTCCCCATCCCAAGCTTTTCCGAGGAGAGGAGGAGGGACAGCCCGGAAGCCGCATTCCCAGGACAGTGTGCCCCTGCAGTGTGTCACCAGGGAGACACGGCTCCCAGGCACAAGCTCTCCCCCGCGGCCTGGCGCACACACACCAGGGCACCCCAGTGCGGCGCGCTCACCACACGCTCTGTGCTCACAGGAAGCGCTGGGGCAGGAGCTGAGGGCCTGTTACCTGCAGGGATCGAGGGTCCTGGAGGCCAGCGCTGAGCTGCCGGCCCTCCGCTCCTTGGCCTGCAGGTTCCGGGGCAGCTGGACGCCCACCGTGCAGCTGACGCGCAGCAGCAGCCCCGCAAACAGCTGGGGGTAGAGCTCGGTCACCGCAGGCCCGGACGCCGGAGCAGACATGACCTCGTGCAGCGCGCAGGTGGCCTGGGGACAGCGGCCACCTCAGGCTCACCCTCCCTTTGGGCCACATATAACGAGTGGAGGGCGGCCACTACAAAGGCTGGGCCCTGCCTCCTAGGACCCAGACTAGCCCACCAGAGGTCGGGGGTGTGCGGGGACCCGAGGGCTGCCCAGCTGGGCCCTTGGGGTGGGAGGAGGCTCAGGAGCCGTGTGCCCACCCGGGCACGGCCCCCGACCATCTGCTCTTGACTCCTCAGCAGAGAAGAGGGAACTCTCACAGCTGCTTTACTGTTGAAATCGCTGCCAAGCCAGGTTTATTTCCTCTGAAGGATGAAACAGTGGTCTCCCTGGGGACCGGCACCTGTGGGGCCTTGACGAGGCTGGGCTCTGAGCTTGCTGGCTCTGGGGCCCCAGGCAGCTGCCAGGTGCCTTGGGGGGCGGTGCCCAGACCACCTGTGGGTCAGCCCGCCAGTGAGCCAGGGAGGAGCAGGGAGCGGGCCGTACTCACCGCCAGGGGCAGCAGCGTGGCCACGCGGTCGGGGGTGCTGCTCAGCAGGAAGGCCCGGCTCTCCTTGAAGGGCACGTCTCTGCTCATCCTCTCCAGCAGCAGTCCCAGCACCTGGGCGCTGAGGCCGGGCTCCACCGCCAGCGCCCGCCACAGGGAGCAGGTGTGGCTGGGGCAGGGAGGGTGGTCACCGTGAGGCCACTGCCAGCCCCAGCTCCACCCCCCACATGCCCACCACACTCAGCTCCAGCCAGGGGGAAATGGTGCCCTGACCTCAGACCTAAACTCACACCTCCCCTGACCCCAGGGGTCCATAAACAGAGGGCCTCAGTGAGGCGGTGGGAGAGGTCCCAGGAGCATCTACAAAGCGTGCAGCACGTGGCTGAGACAGGCACACGGAAGTCAGCCTGTGAGAGAAGCAGACGCCCCTGCAGTTGGGGCTCAGAGGCACAGGAGACGGTTCTGATGGCAGCGTGTGTACAGAGGGAGTGACAAACCAAATACCTGACAGAACGGGAAACTCTAAAAACGGAAGAGAAGCAACAGCCCTTTAGGAAGAGGGGCAGCGCTGCTTGGTGGGCACGTGTGCAGCCTGGACGCAACAGAAGGGAGAAACAGGGACCTGGAGGACGGATGGGAGGAACCAGCAGGACCCAGCGTAGGGAGAGGCCGCGGTGGGTCCAGAAGACGGAACTGGAGACAGGTCTACAGGCACTGACCTGGGTCCCAGGAGCAGAGAAAGAGACTGAAGAGAAGCAGGTTGAAAAGTGTCCAGAACTCAGGAAGCTCAGCGCTGCCCAGCAGAATCCAAGGACCCCTGGGCTCAACCCAAAACATGCGCAAGCCAGCAACAAGGGATGGCTCCTGCGCATCCCAGGAGAGCACGTGGCCCCTCAGACAGCTCGCCAGTGAGACTCGGGCCAGAGGCGGCACATCATCTGACACAGCGGTCACCGACTGGTGGTCCGTGAGGGGCGAAAGGTTGGCGACCGCTGATCTCACACACACAGTGAAAGAAAACTTGCTAAACCAGAATTCCAAACGCTGCAAACAATAGTCAAGAAGCAGCAAACGAATACATTCCAGACCCTGGCCAGTGTGGCTCACTGGGTTGGGCATCGTCCTGTGCACTGAAGGATCCCTGGTTTGATTCTCGGTCAGGGCATATGCCCAGGTTTCAGCTCGATCCCCAGTGGGAGGTATGGGGGAGGCAGCTGATCGATTTTTCTCTCACATCAATGTTTCTCTCCCCCTATCCTTTCTTCTTTCTCAAAAAAAAAAAAAATCAAATTAAAAAACACACCAAACTAAACAAAAACAAGTACATCTCAGCTGACAAAGTGCAGCGTTTTCAGCAGCAGACCCTCAGCAAGCGAGCCCTGGGGGAAGCTCTTCAAGTGGGAGGAGAGTGAGGGGCCGAGTTGTAGAGTGAGGAGCAAAACCTGGTGGCCCTGTGGAAAGACGCACACGCCAACCAGGGTGGCGAGGACACACCCAGGGGACATGGGCGGTGGGCAGATGGACGGCCCATCCCCTGGCACCCGGGCGGCCACACACTGCTGTGGGAACAAGGGGGGACGCTGGGCCCAATAACATGCTCCTCATGGACACTGAGACCGACCTTCACATGCTCCTGATCTTCTCCAACCACTGATAAGTATGAGACCCGTTCTTAGCTCACAGGCTGTGTAAAAACGGGCACGTGAGATGTGGGGTAGGGCTGCACGTGCCAACTCTGACCCAGGTCAGTCCATTCCTGCCCGAGCCAGGTGCCCACAGGACACCAAGTGACCAGAAAGAAAGAGCGACTGCGCAGGCGCCAGAGACAGCACATCCCACGGGCTTCATCCACCAGGCCGCCCACGTCACCACGGGACCCTGTGACGACCTCAGGCTCCTCTGTGTAAGTGACGCCCCCATGAAAACTGAAGCCAAGGGACGGACGAAGAGCCACATGCAGACACGGACGGGCACCACCCCAGAATGGCCACCCAGGAGCTGCGGTGACACCGGGCGGGCGGCTCCATGCAGGCACCTCCCCTGGGCCCTCGTGGTCATTTTTAGAACGACCACTGAAGGGACAGAGGCAGAGTGTACAACCCCCAAAGCAACTGAGTGGAACAGATGACGTTACAGCTGCGTCAGCAAGATGACGAGGCCCTGAGATGGGAGGACAGAGGAGGCACCAGGCAAGCAACGGCTAAGATGCGCCTCAACGCAAAACCCTCGCCAGTGAGGAGAGGTGCTTCGCCAGGTGATGGCTGTGGAGCGAGCGCAAAAGCAAGGCTGACAGGACCCGAAACGCAAGGAGCACAGGGTCTCCAAGTGACAGTGGACCTCCATCAACAATGAAGCCAGCAAAGAAGGGAGCGCGGGCAGCAACGACCACCAATAGGGTGATGTGACGGAGGAGACGTGGGGGACAGGAGGACGGGCACCGATGGGAGCTCGGGAGCTGGGAGTGCGACACGGGGGACGGGAACCCCTTCCTGGCTCAGAGTGAGGGCCAGGCCCCAGGGTCTGCTCACAGATGGGGTGACACCCACAGAGACAGGCCAGGAGAAGTGATGGCACAGCTCATGGCCGTGAGCCCAGGGTGCCCACTGAAACCTAGAAGGCAGGGTGTCTCCCCCCCAGGGCCTGGGGTCTTGCTGGTTCCCAAAAGGAGGCACCAAGTGCAGAGGCAGGTGGAAACTGGGGGCGCAGGTACCGCCGAGCCTGGTGCCCAGCCCAGCAGCTGGTGGACACCTGATACCTGTCGAAGGGCAGGGGGCTGCCCAGGAGGCTGGTCACCACGGCCACGCAGTGCTGGGAGGCCAGGACATACACGCTGTGCTGGGCAGACTGCAGCACGTGCTCCTCGCGGGTCTCCTGCAGCCTGGAGCGCAGCACGCTCATGATCTCGGGCACCTGCGGGCAGTGGGCGCTGGTCAGACCTGGAAGCAGGCAGCCCGGGAGCCAGGTGCTGTCCATATGGGGCCACGGGGCGGGGAGGGGGGGCGTGCAGCCCAGGAGCTGCAGGGCCCCTCGTGGGGCTGGGGCCGAGAAGGGAGCCTGGTGCCCTCTGGATCTGTGTGGAGCACTGAGGCCAACAGGCCCCGACACTCTATTTAGGGTGTCCCAGCCTCAGGCGCTCTGACCAAGGAAAAGGCGGGCAGTGGGTGGGGATGCAGGAGAGAGAGGGGAGGCTGACGGATCCCCAGACTGAGGCTGGGACGGGCCCGGAGAGGGAGGGCCGTGGCCCCCACTGCAGAAGCCACCGGTGAGGCAACCAGAGCGAGGAGCCTCCTCAGGACCAGTGGGGCTCTGCGTGGCCTCATCATTCTGGGTCCCCTGCCCTCAGCAGGTGGGGGCCCCGACCACAGGGACCCCCACTGCATGCTGCACACCTTGGTCTGAGGTGAAAACGGGAGACAGAGCTGCGGGGACAGGGCTGCTGGCAGACGGTGCACTCCACCCACCGCTGGGTCCTGGGCAGGGCTGGCCAAGCCACCTGCCCAATGGGACCTCGAGAAGGCGCGGGTGTGGCTGACGTGAACCCTCCCAGGCCAGGCCTCGCCTGCTCTTCCATGCAGTGTGTGCATGGGGTCCCCTCTCAAAGGGCTGGTGAACAGTGACACCGCGAGTACAGAACGGGGACCAGTCCACTCTCCATGCCCCTTCCCAGAACCTGGGCATGGCATGTCTCCTGGACCCGATGCCTCTGCTACCAGCTCGGGCAGCCTGGCAGGGGCTGAGCCTGAGCTGTGCTTCCTGCCCAGGCCTCCTCCCGCCTCCCCAACAGCTGAGTGAGGAGCCTGCTGTGTGGCCGTCTTGCCCTCTGTTCTTTACAACGTGCTCTATTTTGCGATCATGGGTCACATGTCACCTGCTAGAACCACATTTTCTGACCCGATGTCAGAGGAAGTGTCCAGGCGTCTCCTAGAGGTGCCCCTGCCAAGCTCTCTCACGCAGGAAGGGAAATGCGGCCCATGTGATCCCTGTGGGCACCAGGCACTAGAGGCCACGTCACTGCAGCTGAGGTGTCAGGAGGCAGATCTGCTAAGGACGAGCCTGGGAGTCAGGAACCCTGCTCGTGTCTGACCCTGAGCTGGAAGGAGACGGCTCGACAGCTTCCCCCAGGAGCCCAGCAGCTGGCTCTGCGTGTGGGGCGCCTGCCTTTGCCAAGAACGGGGTGGTGGGGGGAGACCCAAAGTTATAAAACTCCTAGAAGAAAACGGGGAAAGCTTTATGACCCTGGATTTGGCGATGGTTTCTTTGACACCAACAGCAAAAATAGACATGGAACACATCCAACTTCTATGCATCAAAGGACACAATCAACAGAGTGAAAAGGCAACCTACAGAATGGGGAAACATGCTTGCAAGTCGTACACTTGGTAAGGGGTTAATATCCAGAATATATAAAGAACTCATACAACTCAACAACAAATCACACAGCCTGATTTACGAGGAGGAAAAGGACTTGAATAGACATTCCTCCAAAGAAGACATACAAATGGTCAACACGCCCATGAAAAGACGCTCAGCATCACCAACGGTGAGGGAAATGCAAATTGCAACCACAGGGGAGCCCTGGCCGCTGTGGGTCAGCGGTTAGAGCAGGGGTCCTCAAACTACGGCCCGTAGGCCACATGCAAATACAAATATTGTATTTGTTCCCGTTTTGTTTTTTTACTTCAAAATATGTGCAGTGTGCATAGGAATTTGTTCATAGTTTTTTTTTTAAACTATAGTCCGGCCCTCCAACGGTCTGAGGGACAGTGAACTGGCCCCCTGTTTAAAAAGTTTGAGGACCCCTGGGTTAGAGCATTGGCCCGCACCCCCCAGGATCTAGAGTTTGATTCCCGGGCAAGGGCATGTACCTGGGTTGCATGTTCAATCCCCGGCCCTGGTGGGGGCACATGTGGAGGCAACAAATCCATGTGTCTCTCTCACATTGATGTTCCTCTCTCTCTTTCTGCATTTCCCTCCCTCTCTTCCACGCTCTCTAGAAATCAATGGAAAAAAGTATCCTCGGTAAGGATTAACAAGAAGCCCACAGGAGAGGCCACTTCACACTCATCAGGACGGCTATAAAACAAAAGGGGCCATAATCAGTGTTGGCGAGGACGGAGAGAAATTGGAACCCTCACGCACTGTTGGTGGGAATGTAAATTGGTGCAACTACTATGGAAAACAGGATGGTGGTTCCTCAAAAAATTCCAAACAGATTTACCATATGACCTGCAATTCCACTCCTGGGTATCTACCCAAAAGAACAGAAAAAGAATGCAAAGAAGATATTTACACACCATGTTCACAGCCTTATTCTTAAAATAGAAGCTACGAGCTAGAAGCGACCCAAGTGTCTGTCGACAGCTGAAAGGAAAGACACGACATGGGACGCTATGAGTGCACTGGGGCCACCAATGGCCACTGCTTCCAGCTGGCTGGTCCCCCTCCACCTGCCCAGAGCCACAGGACACCTTCCTACCGCTCACATCTGACCTGGAAATAAATGCAAAATAAAATCCAAACCTTCGCCCAGCAAACCCCGACTGTCACAGCTGTGCCTTCATCCCAACCTCCTGCCATACTGCCCCTCCCAGGTCCTGAGGCCACCACCACCCCTGCCTGAGTGCCCGTTCCTCTCCAGCCTTACACCACACACGGCCCTTCTGCTGCTCATCCCCATCAGCAAATTGCCTGCTCACCCCTCCCTGAGAAGCAGACATTTGCGATACCCAACAGAAAACTTGTGTCCACAGGTATCACATACCGCTGCAAATCAGTAAGAAAGGCACAGACAACCCAGGAGACAGATGGGCCCAGCCTGCTGGCACGCTGGAGGAGCCAGGAAACGTGTGCAGAAACGGAACTAGAACTCATGGAAAGCCAAGGCACACCCACCAGAAAGGGGCCCACCCTCGCACTCTGGGGGCCACCTGATACTGGGAGCCCCCAACCTGCAGTCATTGTGGGGAGTCGCCCGGGCCAGTGTGTACCTCAGCGGCCTCTGGGTGAGCCTGCTGCGGGGCCCTCTATGCAGGCACCTTCGATCTCAGAGCCTGAGACCTCACCAGCTTCCAGCTCCACCCTCGCAGCATTTTGCTCCCCATTTCCTTTCCCCACCTTCCTTTCTGAACAGAGTGACTTTTGCCAAATTCTAACCTCAGTCTTCACACAAAAGAGAATTTGTCCCTATTAGACCCGCAGGGAAAGGGGGCAGAGCAGGGAGGCCCCACTTATCCAGCCCCCGCCCCACAGATCTAGACAGACCCAAGGTCCTTGCCTAGCCACACCGCTTCCCAGACAAGCCCCGCCCATGAAACTCCGCCCCGCCCCGCCTCACCTTCTCCAGCAGCATGCTGCCCCGCTCCTTCAGCAGGCAGTTGATCATGACGTAGCCGCTCGGGAGCAGTTCTTGTCTGGGTCTCCCAGGCTCTCAAACAGGGTGAGCAAGAGGTTGATGAGCTGATCCGGCGGGAGGCGCTTCGCGATGATCTAGGAAGAGGGCTGTGCGTCAGCAGAGCAGAGGAAGAGCTTCCAGACATCGCACCTCTGTGCTGGGACAGCGCCAGTACAGCCTTCAGGTCCCTCCAGCCTCAACACCCTCTTCCTGGTCCTGCGCTGTCAGGAGCTCCTGCCGGGTGCCAGGGGCTGTGGCCCATGTTACAGAGAAGCCCCAACTCCCCACTGGAGCCTGGTGCTCCCATCCCTGTGCCCCAAGCCCACTGCCCTGTGCTGCACCCCGTCCAGCGCCCTGCACCCCGCGCCCACGATGCAAGTCCCTCCCAGCCCAGACCAGGAGCGGCCGCCCCTGTGGGTGCCTGCGGTACCTGAGCGATGCTGTGGCAGGCGTGGAAGAGGATGGCAGGGTCGGGGTGCACAAGACCGTCTCTGAGGGTGAGGAGCCGCTCGGCCACGTCGTCCCGGTAGTCACGGGAGAAGCCTGCGGAGGCAGGAGGCACGTGGAGCTGGGCAGGACCTCCCTGGCCACCCGGGGCCCAGACTGCTCCTCATCCCTCCGGCACCTCTGCCCAGCCAGAGGCTCACCCTCGTAGCCCAGCTGGAGGTAGAGCAGGGAGTAGACACAGCTCACGGCCTCCTGGCGGGTGGCAGGCCACAGGTCCGCACACCGTGGGGAGAAGAGGCCGACGAGGAGGCCCAGGTTGTGGAAGGGCACCAGGGCCTGGAGAGGAGGGGTGGGAGGTGCTGTGGGGACACTGGGGCTGGGGGCAGCCAGAGAGGGGAGCTGGGGCCCTGGGGATGTAGGGGGTGGGCAGGTGCTGCCTGTACCACTTAGGCCCAGCTGTGGACCCAGCTCAGACCATACACAGTCTACTGGGGCACCTAAGGGGGGACACAGGGCAGGGCCAAGCAGGAGACAAAGATGGAGCCCCACAGGCAGCAGAGGGGGCAGGGCTCTGATGAGTCCACCAACCCCCATGGGAAGCCCCCTCCCCCAGAGGGCAAATCCCACAGGGGAGGGAAACTGCAGGCCCCTTCACCCTCGCTGGTCCTGGTCCCGTTTTTCAGGGCGCTTTCTTCTCTCCTCAAACACTGAGCCTTGCGTCCTGCCCTGAGCCTTTCAACACCAGTTACGACCCCCAACTCACACCCCTCGGCCTTCCTGCCCCCTGCCCCCTTCCGGTCCTGGAGCCACCAGCCTGGGGATTCGTGGGAGGAGGGAGGCTGGAGTGTTGGGCAAGGAACCCTGGGGCCTGCTGCTGTTCTGACAGGTCAGATGTCGGTTACAGCTGGTCGGGGTCCTGTGAAGACCAGGCACGAGAGCCTGAGGGGAAAAGCCTGGCCATGCACACACGGAAGGCAAGAGCCATGGGGAGACCTGGCAGATCTGGCCACATGAAGAATGAAAGCTTGGGCACATTTTTAAAAAATAGTAAAACAGCAAGAGAAAAAGCCTACAATCACCCGGATTGATGGAAAAAAGGCATCTGGCAACCTCGTCTGTGCTCCTGATAAAAGTCCTCATTAAGACCTTGGCCGGGTGGCTCAGTGGGTTGGAGCGCCGTCCCGAATGCCAAGGCTGCAGGTGTGACCCCTGGTCAGCACACATACAAGCAGCATCCAAGGGACGCAGAAATCAGTGGGACAACAAATGGAGGGCTCACTCTCTCTCTCCCCTTTTCTCTCTCAAATCAATAAATTTCAAAATCAAAGTCCTCATTCAAATGTGTGGAGCATGAGAAAGAGTAAACGTGCCCAGCAGGTCAAGCCTTGGGCTCAGCAGCGAAACTTCCCAGGAGGCGGTGTTGTCTCGTCGTGTCCCGAGCGTGCTGGACGGAGAAGGGACGAAGGTGCAAGTACCAGGGGGAAAGCCAAAGCCCCAGCGTTTGAAAGGGGATATGCAGCCTGGGATGACCATCTGAGAAGCACAGGAAACTCGCTAAAAGCTCATCACAAGTAACAGAGGAGTCCTGCAAACTCCAGTTCCCTCCATAGCAACAATCAGCAGTACTTAGGCCCCAAGAACAGTGACACTGACAACCACCGCTACCCTGGGGAGGGCTGGAGGCGCCCACCCTCACCGCTGCTGCTGGCGCAACCACTGTCCTCGGGTTCCGTCACAACTGCCACAGGAGTGCCAGGGCTGTGCCACAGGAACCCCAAACCACCTGGATGACGGCCTCGTAGGACACTGGAATTCTGGGAGAGCGCACACACGAGCTCCGAGTGTCTCACCAAACACTGAAATGCACACACTGGCCCTCAGGCCGCTCCAACCACCCGCGGAGCTGTCCCCGTCTCCGCCTTTTCCAAGCATCCCCTGTGGTCAGCTCCGTCTTTGCCTACCTGCTGCTTCTGCCTCCAAAGCCCTCATCTTCTCCTCTACACCCCGCTCCCCAGCACACGTTCCCTCACTCGGGGACCATAATACACATCAGTCCTGGGTGACATGTGGGCTCCGTCAGACTGAACTCCGAGTGGCCAGCCCCGAGGACACTCCTGGCCCTGACCGGCCTCTGTCCACTGTCGGTGTGGGATGAGCCTGGGGTGGGGGCTTGGTGACAGCCGGGAAGCCCGCTGAGTGCTTGGGGACAGGCGGGCAGCCGACGCAGGCCCCAACCATGGGACCCGGGAATGGGACGGCCAGGAAGGTGGGGGCGGAGTGTGGTGGGGGCAGCTGTGTGGTCACTGCCTGTTACTCACACTGACGTGCAGGTGCTCCAGGAAGAACTGCAGCAGACAAGCGCTCAGGCCCAGCGCCCGCACCCGCTCGTAGCCCCGCGGGGACTTGATCCACGGGCTCAGGTGCTGGGGAAGATGGGGGTTTCACACGGGTGCCCAGGGGGACAGCCCAGGAGGCAGGGGCCTGTGCACAGTGGGCAGGTCAGCGGCCCTGCCAGGCCACCCTTCCAAGCTTCAGGGGCCAGCAGGCCACATCAGGGTGGGTCACCACAGCTGCAGCTCACCCCTGTCCTGCTGGCCTGGATCACACACATGGCCCCCCAGGTGGACCCAGAGCAAGCTGGGCCTACAGAGGGATGGGGTGTTCCCAGGGAGGGAGACAGCATGGCCACCACCTGCCATCCCGGCGTCTCGATGGCCCCAGACGATCAGAAGCTCACATCTGGGGCACCTGCAGGGTCTCGGCGTCCCAGCACCATGAGATGAAGGAAATGCGGGAATGGGCTCCAGGCCCATCTGGGTGAGGGCCCACCCCACCTGCACACCTACCCACAAACCCCAGTTGCAGAAAGCACCAAATGGCCCCTGTGCTGCCCTGGGGCAAGGCGGGCCCTGAGAAACAATGGAGGGTTGGCTGCCAGGTGCCCACTCCCCCGGACAGTGCACCCCATTGCACACCTCCACCATGAGCTGCAGACCCTGGGGGGTCATGTTCCGCCGAAGGATGCTCCTCAGCAGATCCTCAAGGGCGTGCATGGTGTCCAGGTACAGGAACTGGAGGGAGGGAAGGGGGCGCCGGCCCCACCAGTGACCACACCGCCCACCGCAGCCTCTTCTCTGCCCCCCACAGACATGGGCGGGGGCGGTGGCGAGGGGCACGTGGAGATACCTCCTGGGAGGCCACCCTCCCCCTCGAGCTCGGGCGGCACAGCCATGATGCTGTGCAGACAGCTGTGGATTATGTCCGACTGCACCTGCTCTTCCAGCTCAGGCTCCAGGGAGCTGAGGGGTAAGTTAAGGGTGGGGTCTGTCCAGCCACACACACCCTCACGTGACCCTGTGCCCTCACCCCAGGAGCCCATGCCCAGAGGAAAGGATACACCAGGTGGGTGCAGGCGAGCATGGCCTTCTTCCGAATGGGTGTTCGCAAGGAGTCTGGGGGCTCTGCCTTGATGAAGTCCTGAGGGGCAGCACGTGACAGCCCTGAGCCAAAGCACCGGCTCTCCTCCCCATCCAGCTCCCATCAGGCTGTGCCAAGTAGGTGCTGGGCCCTCACTGCACATGCCCCAGCCTCCCAGACCCACCTCCCCTCGTCCGAGTCAGCGCCCTGCAGCCACCCCAGGCACGCCAGACCCGTGCGGCCTCACCATCATCTGGGCCACCAGCTCCGCCTTCCTCGTGAAGTGGAAGGAGCCGGCCTGCGCACTGCTGCAGATGGCCTGGCACACCATGCACACGCTCTGGACAAGGCACAGCTGCAGGCCCGGGTCCTGCAGGGACAGCAGGCTGCAGGAAGCCGCCGACACCTGCTCCCCAGCCACTGCCCCTGGGTCCACAGGGCTGAGCCCATAAAGGAGGCTGCCCACAGCAAGAGGCCAGACCACACTCCCCTGTTCTTAAGGGTTTGTCAAAGCCACAAGGACAAGAGGGCGCCTGTGAAGCCTCCTTGAGGCACTCAGCTCTCTGCCTGGCCCAGGCCCTGAGGCCCCTGGTCATGGCCGTGGGCAGGCCCTACAGGCAGATGGTGAGCTCTGTCCCATGTCCCCTGCATCCTGTGGCTGGAAGGGCCCCCGAGGTGGAAGAAGGAAGCACACCCAAAAAGAGCCCCACCAGATGGGGATGCCCCTGCCTGTCCCACCAACTGGCCTCTGAGGGTTTGGGGAAGGTAGTGAGGACAGCTGTCCGGGAGCATGGGTGGTGCCCCCCCACTCTAATGGGCTGAGGGGGACAACTCTTAGGACAGCCCCTCCCCCCAACAACCCCAGAAGAACAGAGCGTCTGCCTTCGAGGCGAGGGCCCGGTGGTCACAGAGGGGCTTCCGGGTTAGTGCCAGCGGTCCCAGCAGGAAACATG